TACACTTATGCAATGGAATACCAGTACTGTGAAGATTTGCTCAATAAACACTCCAGGTTAATTATATAAATTAATTTAAGCACTGTCAATGTATGCAACACTACGTATATTCAGCTAAAAGTTTATGCCGTACTGCTTGTTTGAATTGACTTGACAAGCTAATCGAACAAATCTTAATTGGACTGTTCTTTCATAATTTTAAGTAAGAGAATGATAATTGATCAGATGTGGATATATTCAACGTGAAGATTGTTATTAGTGTGCTGTCTTGTATTAGAAAAAGGTATCATATGAAATCATATTTGTTTTTGTATACCTGCAAGTAAAAGTGGATAATAAACATTGTATATATTTCTCATTGTATTTATTTGTAAATAGATGTTGTAGTGGTATTGTAGCACAAGAAATGCAACGAAAACAAGAACTTGGCATGGATGATGCAGAGCATGAATTCAGAGATCTCAAGAAAATAAAGGTATTTAAGATCAATTTTTGGGTCCAAAAATACTAAAGGTTGTCCTTTTATCAACATACTAAAACCATTTGCCTTACCATGTTTTCTTGATAAACCCTGAGTGTTCATTGTTATAATTGAAGAATAATATAAGTATATTATTATCATTTGAGGTGGAGTGTGCAGAATGGATTCATACCGCTACTATACTAGTACAAGAACTATTAGGAGGTGGATCATTGGAACTCTTTAAACCATTGGAAACAGAACCACCTGAGAAGAAATATGACGAGTCGGTAAGATACTTTTTATTAAATTGCCCGCTTTCCTTTCATAGCTAATTTACATGGGAACATAATAGGTTTTGCAATTGTGGGAGGTATTTTTCTGTCTGATATTTTGGTCGCCCTAATTGCAAGGTGACCAACATATGGACCTATTATGGACATCAGATTTGAATCTAATTGCTGATGTCGCATTAAATTAAATCTCCAGTTTCTAGGGGTGAATGAATTTCAAATAGCAAATGACGTCGCCGAGCAATACATCAAATGATGTTACTAAGAATTTTCCATGAACGCATTTTATACAGAGAAACGAATGAGTAAACAAAAAAAACTAAAAAACGACAGGTATTTATAAGGTATTTATACTGTTGTGGCGTTGAAATAATTTCTCCAGGGTTTTGGTCAGTCAATAAATTTCCCTGAGATTCACAACAAATCACAGCAAAATTACAGCAAAGTAGCGCAGTTGGGGTTGAAAGTCTATCATTTGCATTTCGGTTATACATTGGCACCTCATTCTATGATTATGCTAGGTAGTAAGACCTCGTAATCCTAACAAATGCTATTCAAATTGTTTCCCACTACAGATTGCACAAACACCAGAACCACCTAAATCAACAGAAGTTGTTGAAGAAACTAAAGAAGAAACGCCTGGTGTTGAATCGCAAGAAGAGAAAGAACAACCAACAGAAAAGATTGCAGCAGATGAGAAAGTTAACTGTCTGAAATGCAAGTAATCGGTTATGATGAAAATGTGCGCCCAATATCGCTAGATGAAATATCTTCAGAGAAAACCAAGGTAAGGAAATATTTGGTCATTATTTGTAATGATCAATTTTTTGATCGTGTGTTAACCTTTAGAGCATGAAATTCAACTTTTGTCATCATTCACAAGTAATGTGTAACACTTCACAGATCATCTTTTTCAAATTGTGATTTTTAGCAAAAGTTGCACCATATTTCTTTTGGAAAAGTAAAGCATCAGGAGATTATCATAAAAAGAAAACTTTCAAATTACATTGTGGTTGATTCTAACTGAACTGTATGATTTTGTTAGCAGACTGTTGATGTGGATAAATTATTAAAAGCAGATACCAGTGGTGATAGGTCAGACACGCCGAATACTACACGCGCTTATGAAGCCTTGGCTGCTGTAGAAATATTACAAACTAAACTTATGTAAGTCATTTTTTGTTAACCTTTTTCCTGTCTGTAGTCCTGTTTAAGGT